ACCATGGTTGCTCTGATCAATATTTATGACATGGACACTGGAAGCAGTGGGCACGTTACATGCATGATTCCAGACAATGTCCCATTTAAATTTGTTTCAGAGGTGAAAAACTATTACATGTTAGTGACTGACGGAAAACTAGACAGAGAGCTTCAGCCTGGGTATAACATCACTATCACTGCCACGGATTCGGGCTCCCCCTCACTCTCCAGTGTAAAAGTTCTAACAATCGTGGTTAATGATATAAATGATAACCCCCCGACTTTTATGCAGAGCGAGTACAATGCCAACATTTTGGAAAACCAACCGATTGGAACGTTTGTCATGAAAGTGAAAGCAGAGGACACTGACGATGGACCTAATGCTAAAGTACTGTTCCAAATCTCAAGGGACACAAATGCAGACATGTTCTCTTTTCTCAACATCAACTCAGAAACGGGGGAGCTCTTCACATCGCGTCTCTTCGATTATGAACAGTCAGTTCACTTCCAAATCAAGGTGATAGCTCGAGATGGAGGCGACCCCCCACTCTCCGCTACCTGCACTATAAACGTTTTCATTAAGGACCAAAATGACAACACACCTGCGGTCCTCTATCCTGTCCAGACCAACGGGTTCATCGCTGAAGATATGGTGCCAATTGAAGCACCCAGAGGGTACCTGGTCACTAAAGTGGTAGCTGTGGATGCAGACTCTGGCCACAACGCCTGGCTTTCTTACAGAATAATCCGAGCAACGCGACCTAGCCTGTTTATGGTGGGTCTGCACACAGGGGAAATCCGAACAGCGCGACCATTCATGGAGGATGATGAACCCAAACAGACTGTTGTCATTTTGATAACGGACAATGGGCCAGAATCTCTCTCTGCCACTGCTACAGTCAGCATAGTAATTGGTGATGGCCTGCCTGTCTTAAACAAACTTTTTGAGTTTGTTGATGAATCACAGGGCAGCGATAACTTAACGCTCTATTTGATCATCGCTCTATCAACCGTTTCTTTCCTTTTCCTCCTTTTAATCACTGGAGTGTTTTATTTTAAACTGTGCCGGCGTAGTTACGTTTACCATTCAACCACTGCCAGTCTCCCCGTCTTCCCCACGACCTACTGCCCCCCTAGTTTTACAGACTTCAGTCATTGTGGGACCCTGTTGAATGATGATCGCTTTGATTCCTTTTTGACCACTGGCTCATGGAGAGGCGATTTCCGTTTTGGTGCAAACACAGACACTGATACCCTGAAGAAAAGAAGCGCAGCTTATCAGAAAAGCACTCTGAGGCGCACTAGTGCAGACAGAGCTAGTCTGAAGGTGAGGGCAGGTGTACCTCATCCTTGTTATGTGGTCAAGTGAGAATCGACCGTAACATAAAATAAATATATGGTCAAATAATCTGAGCACCTTCTGACTGTCCAATTAATCGTAATTCCATTATTTTTGATCAAGTTTGAATAGAATTACTAGTGAAATCCATTCTGTGTTTATATTCACTTTTCTACAAGTATTTGGATGAAAATGATGTTAGTTCATCACAATGTTTTGTAATGGTCTTGGAGATTTGTATATGACCTCATTCCTTCTTCCCTGAAATCTGACTTTGAGCATAAATGCTGATCTTACCCTTACATCTTCTGGAATATCTTTTGAAAACAGTATAAACTATGTTAATTTTTTGAAAAAAAGCAATTATGCTGTTGAAATTAAACAGTTGCTTGTGTAACTTCAGTCAAGTTTGTTTTGTTTGCCTGCATAATTTTATTATTGTACTCTGTCATTAGTTTGAACTCTTTTTCTCTCTTATCTAGCTTGATATGCTTATATTTCTCTGATTTGTTATCTGCAAATATGAATTGTTGCCACACCATAACAATCTAAACAGATGGTTATAGAGTATTAATGAAAAACATAAGCATGAGCAGTATCTCTCTGATAAAATCACATAATATATAATTATTAAATATGTCAGTTAAGAAGATTAATATAACCACTCACATATAGTTGATGTGTCTATTTTACATTTAAAATGCATGGTAGACCTCTCTGACTATATTTACCCTGATGTCTTCTGAGAGTGATACAGTTGATTGAATATAGTCCGAGCTGTTGTTTTGCCTGTGGTAAACTTGTCTTTGCCTCTTTTTTGAGTTTTGTGTAAAACTATCTCTTATCCCCTGGAATACACCCAATTCAGTTTTTGATAATGCTTTTATGTTTTCAGAAAATAACACATGATTTGTTGTGACAGACATTAAAACCAAAGCATTTGCACTACATGTCATGACTTGAACAGTGTTTGAACAGACTGTATGTTTCTGATGAAAAATAAACATGAAGAGATGATTGTGGTATACTTCTCCATTAGCTGCATGACCTGCTGCACATAAGTTGTGAAGGACATGAGTGAAGCTCAATAACAGTAACTTAAACACATGGTCATCATAACAACAACACACAGTAATACAAATTCACCAAAAATAAATGGTCAGCTACACAGTCAGTAAAAAAAAAAGACTCTTTGAAGATCAATGATTACTGATTTCTCTTTTTTATGTAAATGATTTAAAAAGAAGGTAGAGAGTTCCTACACACAGCAGTTCTAGCAGTTCTTTTATCAAAAAACATAAACACTACACATAATTAGCTAAGCAAATAATTACAGTTACAATTTACAACAGATGAAAGTGTTGCTTACTTTTCTTTAATTTTTAAACCCATGTTGTTTTTTTAGATCAGCTCAATTAGACTCTGCTCAGGTGGAAGATTCAGACAAACATTAATAAACATGCGATTTAAACATTTAACAATTAAAAAAAGAAAAAATACATGATCTGCACTCAGATCAGTGGTCACAGTTGAATACCACAGTCAGATGGTTGTTTGTGTGTGTTCCTGCCTGCTACTGACCGTGTCATGGCAGTGAAGCAGATACGATTTGTCAGCAAAAGAACTCCCATGTGAATTCATGTGTGTTCATCTTGGTGTTATAGCTCTGGGCCCATTCGTGCTCCTAATTTCAGCTGGGGAAGAAGAAGAAAAAAAAACCAAGCAGTGCTTAATCTTTTTTTAAACATTATCTAGGTCATGACAACACTGTTTTAAGCAATTTATTTGACAACATTGGAGCATGAAAGAAAAGTATGTCAACAAAATGGCTGTTATCAATTAACACAAGCATCACTGAGTCTCCAGTGTTTTTGAATACTGTGGGCAGTTTTTTTTATTTACAGACACATGTTGTGCAAAGTAAAGGATGAAATGTTGGAAATCTGCTGACACATTGCGTGTCTCATCCTAGGAGAATGTCCTGTTAATGGCAGTTGTGCTTCCATGTGCATTTGTTTATAACATATTTCTACTTGTTCCTATCAGTGTCTAAAATTTGATGCCATGTTGTCACCCAACTATTTGAACCATGAATATGAATGTTAAGGAATGATGTCAAGATCTGATTGGGTTTTATTAGGATTCATACTAACTGTTATCTCTTTTCTCCTTTCTTTTTTCCACATTGCTCTTCTTTAATGGAACATCTTCTTTGATCGAACAGGTAAGACAGTTTTCTTTTCCCACTCACTTTAAATGTCACATTTTACACTATTCCTTATTACTGTGTTATGTTGCTGCTACAGCATCATCAACACAAAACTCAATTTCCACGATCAATATGAAACACAGTTGACTCAAACTTGGCTTCAGTCCATTTTCCATCTCCATTCTTTATCTCTTCATCTCTCTTTGACCACATGGAAACCTTGTTGAAACCAGCTAACATACAATGTGTTTATAAGACACATTTCTAATTCCTGCAAGAGTGAACCTTATTGTGACACAGGCAGCTGCATTGGCCCCCGCAGGCTTTAAATTACATAAATATTAATGCACGTGGCTGCTGCTATGCAGTCACTCCCTGAATAATGCACAATCACGATGTGCAGAATGTTTTTTTCTGTTAGTGCGAGTGCTGTCAGGCACAGAGAGAGTGTGTGTGCATGAGAGAACATGACGAAATGCAAAATCCTGACCTACAAACTTGTTATTCCTACTCATGCAAACATCATGTTTTAGGTACATACAGAAGAAATATAACCGCTGGAAAATATGTATCTGTTCTTGCTTGTGAATGAGCATTGCAGTAGTTTCATACTGGATGTTAATTCCACTGCTCAAATGTAGGTCACTGGATTTATCAGTTAGACTGGTTAATGAGAGAAGGGATTGACTATCTGTCTGTCTATCTATCTTTCTCATCCAGCTATCTATCTATCTATCTATCTATCTATCTATCTATCTATCTTTCTTTCTTTCTTTCTCATCTATCTCTCTCATCTATCTATCTATCTCATCTATCTATCTATCTGTCTGTCTGTCTGTCTGTCTGTCTGTCTGTCTATCTATCTATCTATCTCATCTGTCTATCTATCTGTGCACACATGCACATCTATCCATCCATCCTCTTTTATTGCAGTTCACTTCTTTACATTTAAGACTATATGGAGCTGTTGCCTTTAGAAAAAATATGTGGGGGTTATGTGTGTTTGCTCTCAGCCTCTTCCCAAACCAATACAGTGTATTATTAGAAAACTTTATATCTACATATAATTGTATTTATTCCCATTCTAAACATAATGTCAGTTTAGAAGTTGCTGTATTTTGATGTTGGAGATCCACAAAATTACAGGTGAGGCAGGAGGGACAGGAGGTTAAGTTTTGATACATTTGACTATAGACAGGAAGTGGCACATTGATCCCGTGGTTCAGTGGCGTTGTTTGACCTACTCACTGTTGGTGGTGCTATTGCCTAAGGAGACTGTATAACAGTGGCCTTATCACAGAGACAAAGTCGCCACCCGTCTTTGAAGGAAATAGGCGTGTGAGCTTATATCAAGGACTGGATTTGACAGACGACAAAACTAAATACGTATGATACATGTTTTGAGTGAGACTCGACGCCTCTCTCCCTCTGGATATCTGCGTTATTTTGGATCTGATATTCGCTGGAAGAGATGGATATTCTGACATTTAAAGGCGCCTCATTGGACTGGAGAGTCTCCATTTTGCTTTTCTCTGTTGTCGCTGCGGTTAATGGGCAAATCCGTTACTCTATTCCAGAGGAGATGAGAAAAGGATTGTTTGTCGGAGACCTTGCAAAAGACCTGGGCTTGGATGTGAAAAGGTTGGTTTCTGGTCGAGCTCGACTTGTTATTGATGAAGACAGCCAGTATGTCGTGCTGAACCAGAACAAAGGGCACGTTGTTGTCAACGAACGAATTGACAGAGAAAAATTATGCGCCAAGAAATCACCGTGTAGTTTTAGCCTGGAAATTGTCTTAGAAGATCCACTTGAGTTGTTTTCCATTACCATCGAAATACAAGATATAAACGATCATGCTCCTGCGTTTCCCAAAAAGGAAATTAATTTGGAAATTAGTGAATCGACGCCCACAGGAACAGTATTCTTGCTTGATAGCGCAGCTGATCCTGATGTAGGAATAAATTCACTGCAAAGTTACTCTTTGAAAGCAAATGACCATTTTGTTCTCAAACAACACACTCGATCAGATGGGAGTAAATACGCTGAAATGATGCTTCAGACTGGTTTGGACCGAGAGGAGAAAAGCGAGCATACGCTCATATTAACGGCTGTGGATGGTGGGGAGCCGCAGAGGTCTGGGACAGTGAGGATACACGTATCTGTTCTGGACGCAAACGACAATGCACCCGTTTTTACGCAGACTGTATACAAAGCGTCTGTATTAGAAAATGTCGTGCGAGGCACAGTCATCGCCAGAGTCAGTGCGGTAGATGTGGACCAAGGTTATAATGGTAACGTAACTTATTTTTTCACCCACCTGGAGGAGGATTCTTCTTGTCCTTTCGAAATTATATCATACACGGGAGAGGTTAAACTCACCGGTGACATTGATTACGAAATTTCACCGTATTACGAAATAAACCTTCAAGCAAAAGATCCATGGGGTGTGGTTGGTGTCAGCAAAATAATTATCGAGATAGTAGATGTAAATGATCACAGGCCAGTAATCACAATGGCTTCATACTCGGGTAAGATTTCAGAGGATTCTGCTCCCGGTACTGTTGTGGCGTTGATTAGTCTCCAAGATAAAGATTCCGGTAAAAATGGGCAGGTTCATTTAAATATAGAAGAAAATCTCCCTTTCAAAATCAAATCATCCCTCAGAAATTATTACACCTTGGTCACGGAGCAAAACCTCGACCGAGAGAAATGTTCCAAGTACAATATTACTCTCACTGCCACAGATGAGGGCACACCTGCCTTATCAAGCCGAAAAACTGTGGTTTTAGACGTGAATGATGTTAATGACAACGCCCCGGCTTTCAGCCAAAGTCTTTACAACACTCATGTAATGGAAAACAATTCTCCTGGTGTCGCTCTCTTGCAGATTCACGCAACTGATCCAGATCAGGGTCAAAACGCACGCATATCATATTTTCTTATTGACAGCCAGATTAATGGAAATCCGGTTTCCTCATATTTCTCCATTAATACAGAAAGTGGAATGATTCAATCTTTGCGTTCACTTGATTATGAACAAATCAAAGAACTGATGTTCGTCGTCAAAGCTCAGGATGGAGGCTCTCCTCCACTCAGCAGTAACGTGACTGTGAAAATACTGATCCAGGACCAGAACGACAACCCCCCTCAGGTTCTGTACCCAGTCCAGACTGGTGGCTCTCTGGTGGCTGAGATGGTGCCTCGTTCAGCAGATGTGGGCTATCTGGTCACTAAAGTGGTGGCTGTGGATGTGGACTCTGGACAGAATGCCTGGCTCTCCTATAAACTGCAGAAAGCCACAGACAGGGCGCTGTTTGAAGTGGGCTCACAGAATGGAGAAATAAGAACTATCCGCCAAGTCACTGATAAAGACGCAGTGAAACAAAGACTGACTGTTATAGTGGAGGACAACGGGCAGCCCTCTCGTTCAGCTACAGTTGTTGTTAACGTGGCGGTGGCGGACAGCTTCCCTGAAGTGCTGTCGGAGTTCACTGACTTTACGCACGACAAGGAGTACAACGACAACCTGACTTTTTACTTAGTGTTGGCTCTGGCTGTGGTTTCCTTCCTCTTCATCACGTGTGTAGTGGTTATTATCTCAGTGAAAATCTACAGGTGGAGACAGTCTCGCGTCCTGTATCACTCCAATCTCCCTGTGATTCCATATTATCCACCACGTTACTCAGACACTTTGGGGACAGGGACTCTCCAACACGTGTACAATTACGAGGTGTGCAGGACGACTGACTCCAGAAAGAGTGACACAAAATATATGGAACCGATGAGTCAAAATTTGTTGAGTGTGGATGGAGCTGGAACTGAAACTCTGCATAATGGAGAGCAGTCATCAGCAGTATCTCGCATGTCTACTCTGGTAAGTTTTCTCACGGATTTAATTGAAATCGTATCAACTCCAAGGCTCTGTGAACATACTGTGATGTTAACGTGTAAGCTTTGCATTGATACCTGTTGTGGGCACATCAGAAATTAAGCAAAGAGCGCAACATGTTTAAATGACTGGTGGTCCGGTCTTTGGCAACTGCTCTGTCCATGGTGCTGAATGTGGCTTTTGCGCCGAGATATTGACCGTTCTAAATTTGAGTGAACAATTTGGATACTGCTGCTACTACTACTATTACCACTACTGATACTACTACAAGTAATAATACTAATATAAATAATAACATAGGGTAGTAAATCATAATTAATTGTTGCTAAATATTCCTTGCGAACTATATATACATTGCAGTACATTGTTGATAGAGCAAGATTGTCTATTTATCTGTTTAGTGTTTTGTTTTTTTTCCATTTCTGAAAATACTCATTACTTTCCTTGTGTTCTTTTATAGGGACGAAATCACGTTTTAGTGACATCAACTAAATTTAGGAAGTTAAACTCAAATAACAAAAACAACGAATCAAAACCTTACTGATCACGAATGTGAGTGTGTCTTTAACGTTACATTTTTTTGAACAAGGTTGAGGCTTATTTATAATTTTACCAACTCTTAATAGATGTTTCATTGTCAGAAATACTTGATCGTTCCCCCTGGGGAAATTGCATTAAATCTTAAATAACGAGAGGGGCCGTGTAACACAGCATTTTCAGTAAAATCATATATATCCTCTCATTTGCTGATCAATTGTCACCAAAAAATATACATTACATTATTTACAGAATTAGAATTTGCACACGTGTGTTTATTGCCAAGTATGTCGTTACCGTCGTCGAGAATATCATAAAAAATAACTCTTCATATGATGTCTGGTTATGCAATTTTCATGTTTTATCCTCTAAGTGACGCTGTTGCCTGGTAAATCAATTCAACCTTTGATTGTGGGGCAGTGTCGTTCCCTCCCTTGTCACTGCGTTTTACAGGAGGAGATGATCTGCTTCTCATACGAGCTGGGGTTCTTACACGGTTGATTTAAACTTCAAACGCTAATCTAAATCAGTCTCTTATAGTTGGAATTTTCTCATCGAGTTGAAATCTGCTTGTTTTGCTCAGACGTCCTGCTCACATGGCATTTATAGAACATCATCGAGACGGAGGAGTAAAATGGCGATTGTTTGGGAGATCGCGAGGGGCAGCTTATGTATTTATGTTGCAGCTTATTTTTATTCTTCAAACGGAGGGACAGATCCGGTATTCGATCCCAGAGGAGATGAAGAAAGGGTCCCTTGTCGGTAACATCGCACAAGACCTGGGTTTGGATTTAAAAAGGCTTCGTTCTGGTCGGGCCCGCATCGTGACCGGAGAGAGCGTTCAGTACACCGAGCTGAAGACAGACAAAGGGACTTTGGTCGTCAAAGAGCGAATAGACCGAGAGCAGCTTTGTGGAGACGTGACACCGTGTAGCTTTACCTTTGAGATTTTACTGGAAAGCCCCATGGAGCTGCACCCTGTGACCATAGAGGTACTGGACGTGAACGACAACGCTCCCTCTTTTCAAAACAGCCATCAGGAATTTGAAATAAGCGAATCCGCCGCACTCGGCTCCCGTTTTGTTCTGGAGAGTGCAGACGATGCTGACGTTGGGCCAAACAGTCTGCAGAACTATATTTTAACCCCCAACGACAATTTTTCGTTGAAACAACATGTTAATCCGGATGGCAGTAAATATGCTGAAATGGTGCTTCAAAAATCATTAGACAGAGAAGAACAGCCACGCCTGTCTCTAAAGTTGTTGGCAGTGGACGGAGGAAATCCACAGAGATCCGGTACAGTAAATATAGGTATCAATGTCTTGGATATTAATGATAATTCTCCTGTGTTTAATCAATCGATATATAAGGGATCGGTGATAGAAAACGCACCAAAAGGTACTCCTATTGTTACAGTGAATGCAAGCGACGCAGATAGTGGTTTAAACGGCCGAGTAACATATTTTTTCTCAAAGTCAAAAGCAGGAATAGCTGATTTGTTTGACATTGACGAGGCTACAGGGAGAATTTATGTGGCAAAGGAAATTGATTATGAAAATGACAAAAAAATTGAGTTCAGGGTGGAAGCTAAAGATCAAGGAGGACTAACAGATTCAAGTAAAGTTGAAATAGAGGTTATAGATGTAAATGATAACGCTCCGGTCATCAACGTTATGTCATTCACCAGCTCTGTTTCGGAAGACTCCCCTGCTGGTACCACCATCGGCATAATTAATGTTAAAGATGTTGATTCGGGGGAAAATGGTCAAATAAGGTGCATGATAGAAGGCAGTGTTCCTTTTAAAATTAAATCCAACGTGAGAAATTATTATGCATTGATAACTGATGCCCTATTAGATCGTGAACACCTGTCAGAGTGGAACATCACTGTCATTGCGTCTGACGCAGGCTCGCCTCCCCTCTCAACGAAAAGAATGTTTTATTTAAAAGTCTCGGACGTCAACGACAATGCCCCTGTCTTTCCAAGAGGCCTTTACAGTGCTTTCATAGCAGAGAACAACTCCCCAGGCGTTTCTGTACTTAGAGTTAATGCTAAAGACCCTGATGAAAACCAGAACGCACGTGTTTCTTATATTTTGGAAGACTGTGAGATTGGTGGATCTCCAATATCTCAATATGTTTCCGTTAATGCTGAAACCGGAGTCATTTGTGCAGTTCGTTCATATGATTATGAACAAATCAAAGAACTGATGTTCGTTATCAAAGCTCAGGATGGAGGCTCTCCTCCACTCAGTAGTAACGTGACTGTGAAAATATTGATCCAGGACCAGAACGACAACCCCCCTCAGGTTCTGTACCCAGTCCAGACTGGTGGCTCTCTGGTGGCTGAGATGGTGCCTCGTTCAGCAGATGTGGGCTATCTGGTCACTAAAGTGGTGGCTGTGGATGTGGACTCTGGACAGAATGCCTGGCTCTCCTATAAACTGCAGAAAGCCACAGACAGGGCGCTGTTTGAAGTGGGCTCACAGAATGGAGAAATAAGAACTATCCGCCAAGTCACTGATAAAGACGCAGTGAAACAAAGACTGACTGTTATAGTGGAGGACAACGGGCAGCCCTCTCGTTCAGCTACAGTCGTTGTTAACGTGGCGGTGGCGGACAGCTTCCCTGAAGTGCTGTCGGAGTTCACTGACTTTACGCACGACAAGGAGTACAACGAAAACCTGACTTTTTACTTAGTGTTGGCTCTGGCTGTAGTTTCCTTCCTCTTCATCACTTGTGTAGTGGTTATTATCTCAGTGAAAATCTACAGGTGGAGACAGTCTCGCGTCCTGTATCACTCCAATCTCCCTGTGATTCCATATTATCCACCACGTTACTCAGACACTTTGGGGACAGGGACTCTCCAACACGTGTACAARTACGAGGTGTGCAGGACGACTGACTCCAGAAAGAGTGACTGTAAGTTCGGCAGAGCTGGTAGTCAGAACGTGCTGATAATGGACCCCAGTTCTACAGGGACGATGCAGCGGATACAGAGTGAAAAGAGCATCCTGGATGAACCAGACTCTCCTCTGGAGGTGAGTTAAATCATTGTGCTCGCATCTTCTCTTATTTGTCTAGTTTTTAAATTTATAGAAAGTCATTGTATTGCCGGTGGTTACTTTCAGCACCATGGACAGCACGACACTGTGCATTACCCGATAGAAATGCTGCTCATGTTAAAATCTTCATAGATTGAGTATTGGGAATGAAATGCTCTTGACCAAACTTTACAGAAACACTGCTTTTTAACTATGTTATATTGAAAAACAAATACTTTTTGGGGAAAGTAATACTGATTTTATTCTAACTGATATTGTGTGGTGTGCGCCAGGTGTGACTTGTTGATTTTGGTATGTAGATGTTCAGTCGTGGCGAGGGCAGATCTTGTAATTTTAAAATGTCATCGCTGAGCATAACACATTGAATTCCAACTCCTACTTCCTCTTTATAAACTACTGTCAATCACAAGCTAATTGGGTGGGGTTTGTATTGTCAATATAGAATATATTCTAACAAGTGTATGTATTTTGACCTTATTACAACCCATTCATTTATTTTCCCTCTAACATCAAATACATTGTAAGCAAATTGTTATTGACACTTGATTTTCAGATCTTTTTGAAACATAATTCTACAATCTACTTTTACATAACATTTGTTTTAGTGCCAATACTGACTTGTAATATCTTTCAATTTCTGATTTTAATCAAATGGGTTTCATTGGAACATCTACATCTGATAGAGATGTGTTCAATTTGTCTATTTATGAGTCATTTCACTGTGTTCTTGGTCTCGTTTAACTTCCTCTTTTTAGGCTCTAAGCGACGCTGTTGGTCAGTGAAACATTTTTCTCTGTTGTMTCGTCATTCAGTCCATCCCCTGAATTATTATACAGTGAAAGAGGCTCTCTGTGTTTGGTCGAGGTTTAGTGCGAACATGGTCTCACGGACTTGCATATGAACATTGAAGACGTCCTRAGATCKAACAGAAACGGATTTATCAGAAATATTMTCACRGTGARATTGATCGGATATAAATCATTTGTTTCTTRGTTGTCGGGATGGCATCTGGAAGATTTCCAATATACTTAAGATGGCGATCGTTTTGTGGACTGCGACAGCAAATAGGACTGCTCATGTTGCTGCTTCATGCGGTTTGCATGGTAGGTGGTCAGATTCGTTATTCTGTACCGGAGGAGATGAAGAAAGGCTCGGTGATTGGTAARGTGGCGCAAGATCTGGGTTTGGATCTGAAAAGGCTCCGCTCTGGGCGGGCCCGTATCGTGACCGGTGAAAACGTTCACTACACGGAGCTGAAGACAGACAAAGGGATTCTCGTRGTGAATGAGAGAATAGATCGAGAGCAGCTTTGTGGAGACGTAACTCCGTGTAGCTTCAGCTTTGAGGTGATTTTAGAGAATCCKATYGAACTGCACAGAATCACTGTTGAAGTGTTAGATATTAATGATCACGCACCAGTTTTCCCGAAAAACAATAAACCCATCAGTTTTGAAATAAGTGAATCAGCSMTAGTGGGGGTTCAGTTTCCACTGCAGAGTGCAGAGGATCTRGATGTTGGACAGAACGCGTTYCAAGATTATGTTTTGTCGCCAAACGACAATTTTATTTTGAYGCAACATGCCAATCCAGACGGAAGTAAATATGTTGAAATGGTGCTCCAGAAGCCTTTAGACAGAGAYCYAKYRCCACWTTTSTCRTTAAAYCTAATCGCAGTTGACGGAGGAACACCACAGAGATCTGGCACAGTGAATATAGATGTAACRGTMTTAGATGRWAATGACAATGCTCCAGTTTTTAACCAGTCTGTGTATAAAGCTTCTGTGACYGAYAARACGYTTAAAGGCACCCACATTGTAACTGTAAATGCCACTGATGCAGACAGTGGRTCYWATGGASSTYTTARTTACAGCTTGTCYAATATGAAAGGAAGCACAGCAGARATATTRAYTATTYARGAAAACACKGGYARYATTTCTGTGTCTGGTCAAATAGATTATGAAAAAMACAGAAAGTACGAGGTGAGAGTAGAGGCAAAGGATCAGGGTGGTTTAACCGGGACAAGTAAGGTTATAATCGATGTTGTTGATGTTAATGACAATGCCCCAGTTATAAATATAATGTCATTTTCTAGTCCAGTGTCAGAGGACGCACGTCCTGGTACAACGATTGCTATTTTGAACGTAAAAGATGCAGATTCTGATAGAAACGGGCAAATAAAATGTTCTATAGATGCTAAACTTCCTTTTAAAATAGAGTCATCACTAACAAATTATTATAATTTAATKTCTGATCAATACTTTGATCGAGAATCTGTGTCAGAATATAACATAACAATAACYGCCACTGATTTTGGGATTCCTCCGCTTTCTAYCTCAAAAAAATTACATCTTAAAATRTCTGACGTAAACGACAACGCGCCWATATTTGATAAACGCAGCTTTTCTGCTCATGTGACTGAGAACAACTCSCCGGGATTTTCGATATTTGCCGTCAGCGCGAAAGACTCTGACTGGAARCAAAACGCCCGAATATCGTATCTTCTAGAAGACACTCAGGTCGGTGGTAGTCCAGTTTCTACTTACGTGTCTTTAAACTCTGAAACTGGAGTTCTTAGTGCGGTTCGCTCCTTTGATTATGAGCAAATTAAA